TATCGTCTCGTATTAAGCCATCATGACTGTAAAAATTCCGTTCAAGGCATAAACTTAGAAGATTGTTCCAATTTGATTGCGTTACTTTTATAATCTATATACACAAAACATATACACGTACTTTTTAAAATACTTGTAGTTTGCAGAATTTTTTGACATTAATCCTTTATTGAATATGGACACGATCGGTTTGGCACAATCTTCGAGCAGTCATTCTCATTCACACATTGTAAATTCATATGTTCATGACCATATTGTCGTTATTGTATGATAATTATACGTCTACAATTCTTATGAGATAGTGAGCACGGATTTTATTAATTTAATACTTCAGCGTAAAAATATGTTTTTAATATTTCGTTAAAACAAGAGTCACGCAAATTATGAATTATTCTATGATTTTTGTACTTTGTTTTTTAATACGAGATGGAGAAATTTTTTAATTCTAAGTCTTATCAACGGCGTATCGAAAGCAAAAAAGCAAAAATTTTATTTTGTTTTTATTTATATATATTCTATTTACTATTTAAAAGATTTATAATATTAAAAAAAAATATATATATATATATATATATATATATATTTATTTATTTATATATATATGTATATAATAATTTTCACAATAATCCTACGAGGATTTAAAAAAAAAAAAAAAAAAAAAAAAAAAAAAAAAAAAGTAAAAAGTAAAAATTTGTCATAACTAAGTTGGTCTATGCCCCTTCTGTCACGTAAATAGTGCGCGACGAAGCGAATCAACCAATTAATTGGCTTTTTAAAGACAATTTAACGGCATAATTATCTACATATATGTACAGGCACGTATAATGGATAGGATGAAAGATTGTTTTCTGTACCACAGACGTATTTACATTGAAAGACTATAAGTAAACGTGAGTGTACAACATAGGCATTTTAGAAATTTATTATCCTCACGCAGTTATAATATTTAATAAAGAGCGAAATAATGTACGCACTAAAGTCCAAAATGAAATGAAAGAGAAGAAGAGCGTAAGTTAAGTGAGATTCGTTTAATGGGAACGCATTTTCTCCAAAATTTATAATTCTATATTATTCGTCTTTCTTTGCGCGTCTTGCGCAATTCATCGATTGATAATGCTTGTGAATTCAGCGCCGCCCATCGCAGTTATGTAATTTTTGTATAAAACATGAAATGAGTGAACTAAACGGCGTATACAAAAAAGCTTATGCACGCGAATGCCAAGCGCCTATGCATTTATATACCGATACCGATTCCGTAAGATAATCCGCACTCGACGTACTTTACTTTATAAAACTGTAGTGTATTATATAATTAATAAAGACGAGTTGCATCTCAATAAGCCTTGTAATAGATGCAAATTTCTTAAGCGCCCATCGATCGTTAGTTATTAATTGAGTGATACATACACATAAGCAACTCAATTGAAATAAGCATCTCGTCTCATTTAAGCTTCATTAGCTGCTAATTTAAGGGTATGAAAAAAAAAGTGAAAAATGAAAATGATATGAACAGATTTGAAAGCCTGAAGAAAGATACACTATTAAAAATTTTGTGTAAAATCTGGATCTTGTGTATAGCCTATTTATATTCGTTTTACAATATAAGTATGTGTATACAAGTTAAAGAATAACAAGTGACTTCAATTATTTAATTATTACTCTAATCATATATGCTAACAGAACATATGAAAACAGAACAATATTTTTTCATTATTTTTAATTAAGTAAAAATCAAGAATTATTAATCAATTCTTTCCATGGATAATTTCAAAGAGAGTCAAAGAGTAAGAGATGTTTAATCCGAAAATTCGTCTTGAGGTTAATAAAATAACTATGAATGGGTATTCTAAAGTAATACTGGTAAAATAAGAAATTTTTAAGAAAACTAGTAGTTTTCGAAAGTTGAATAGATACTTCGTCCGAACTAATAATTTACTATTTCTTACACATTTTTAGACTTTATGATAGCAAATTTTTTGACGGATTTGACAAAACTTTACAATTTTACACAAAGCTCAAAAGACTGTAAGTGTAATTTATAAAAAAGATTTTGATGAAATGATAATTAGTATACGGTTTCCGTAAATACAGCACGTTAATATATCGAAATATTATAATTCAGCAATACATAATAATCAGATAATTCTTTTCGATGTTAATAAATGTATATTATGTACAAATTTTTAAATGCATTTAAATAAATATTATTGAATATTTATATGTTAAAATAATTTTTTTTTTTTTTTTTTTTTTTTTTTTTTTTTTTTTTAATATAACACGGGCAAGCAATGTACAAGTGAATAGTCACATTAAATATTAACCATATGTCACACCATTTAACTTTACCGAGAAAAAAGTATTTAAGTTAATGATATTTATAATTGAATTGTAGACGTTTATATTTAAAATAATATGTGGATCCATGTATGGGTAAATAAATAGATATTAAATAGATGGATTTCTGTATACAACTTGCCGTGGGTTTTAAAATATTTTTTTGCCCTAATTTTTAATATTTATTTTAGTTATTTTTCTATAATACTTTTTATTATTAACTTTTTTTTTTTTTTTTTTTTTCATAAATGTAACTTTTAAATGAGAAATTCTTTAATTTACTCTAAAATATAATAATAATTATTCATGTCGTTAGGTTGATTTCATGCTTTACGTATAGTTATATAAATAATTGAACAATCTAAAATGACATATTAACAGTCTACAATGATTATTTATTTATTTTATTTTTTTTTTTTATATAATAAAAAAGTATTAATGCAATGATATAATTTATAATAATTTTATGTGCAATATTTACCCAAAATGAATGTGAAACAGATATCTGGATTTTACCGAATACAAGATTTTTAAGGGTGTACGTACGCTCTATAATAATTGAGTCGCGAATGCTCAATATAATAAATACCCCAGAGCCATAAGAGTTTATATATAATAAAAAGTAAATGAAAAATGAAGATTCTATTTATTTCCAGACACATCATAAGCGGTAGTAAATTAACGATCCCCTGCTCCTTTATCCTGCTTTCTCCTCATATATATATATATATATATATATATATATATATATATATATATCTGTCTTTATTTTCATTATACATAATATATACTTCGCGACAAAAAGAGATAGAACGTTTATATACATTTACACTATGTTGTATTTCGATATGTACATAATAAATGTAAGCAATAGCAATTAGTATTGTGTACTTCAAACACAACTAAAGCAAAATATTGAAATATCCTAAAATAAGAGATCCGATCTCTTTTTTTTTCTGTTTTATTCGTATTTCAAATTTGGTTATCTATTAAGTGGTGATTGGACAGGGACTACTATCAAATAATATTTTACAGTTTTTAATTGTATCAATGTTCAAGTATATATTTGTTTATCGTATTTTCTAAAAATTCACTAGTCTACATGAACAATTTTTTATTTTTATATTAATTATTTTTCCTTATTTACATTTAAATTCTATTCGCATCGAAACAATTGGTAATGGAAGAAGTTAAAACATATTAGAATGAAAAACCTGTAAAAAGTTGATATAATAAATTATAAATATGTACAAATAAAATAGATACTGTAATATAGAATTTTCCGTTGCATGAGATAGGGATCTACGCTTACGTAAATTCTATGATGAAAAAAATTTTTTTTTTTTGAATTAACAAAATTTAAACATATATAATAAAAATTGAAAATAACATTAAAAAATTAAATACAAATAAAATATCTGGTATTAACTGTTTGGCTATCACGTGATTAATGGAAATGCCTTTGCTCACTTTGATTACCGAGTCTTTTTCGTACCTAACACATTATTAAATGCACATTTTTAACGTAATGGCTAAGCAAATAATTTGATTGAAATTATATTTAAACTGTAAATATTAAAATTGTTCTCCTAAAATTCGTGAAAAAAATAAAAACGAGCGCTACTCTGAAAATTAATTTTTTCAATGAAGGAAACGCAATGTAGTTTCAATTGTCAATTTGCAACTGTAAATGGTAGCGCAGACGTAACTGCGTCTGGTATCATTGAAATCAATCACTTGCAATGTCCTCTTTAATTTCGTGAAAATTGCTCGGTACGCAGATGAGAGAAGGTGCTGGAATACTAATCGAACGGACGTCGATAGAATAAAAAATTATACGAGCGTATCGGCAAAATTGTGTTTTACGAATTTACGCAAAGCACATTGCTTTGGTAATATGCTGGCCGATTTCACATACAACGAAACTTATTCATTATTCATAAAGTCTGTATTAGGCGATCGGTTATTAATACGAAACTCGAATTCAAAACTGTCAAAGCCATAATTGACTCGTTTCACTCGAAAGAGTCAAAGAATATTCATAAGAAAATTAAGTAGATAAAGGACCGAGGACTGAATAGAGAATATTTTTATCCACAATAATATAAAAATTCATATGAATATGAATGGGGTTGTGGGTTGAGGAGAGAAAAACCGGCGCTTGTATGGGAAGTGAAAAATTGCCTCGCTCTTGGATCTCACGGGTGGTGACTGATAGATGTATTGTTTTTTATTGGTCATTCCCTTGGAAAATATTTTCTAATATTAGCTCAATGACTGGAAATACAATAGATATATAAGTAGATAGAGGCGTAGGGGCATGGTTGGGTTGGGCGCACGCATAGCATAAGGTGAAGTTGCGTAGCGGTTGCCATGGCGGTTGCACGTGGAACGTATTTCATATCGCGTTAGCGAGTCGCTTGCATGAGCGACGACGACTCCCAGCTGCGTCGGGAGATAAGAAATTTCTCTCCTTGGCCAGGCTCTCCCGATTACGCGACTCGCGCAATGCCATTTCTCAAATAAGCTCGGCCTCCACACCTTTGCGCAGCCTCTCCAGGGTTGGTCCATTTAATGGCGCATAAAAATTAAAGGCAATTAATCAGAGCCTCTGCCAATAAATAATCACGGAGTCGAGAAAGCGTCGGCCCCGTGGAGTCCGCGGACAAATGCATCTTCCGCCAATCGCATCCCGAGATACATAGAGAAGATAAAGTCTTACGAAGTTAAGCGCTTAAGCGGCTGAGCCGTATAATGAAACTTCGATTGGCAGCTGCTCTACCGACCATAATCCAATGTTCCGTGCGAGCGAGTCAATTCGGCAAAATGAGTGGAAAGCTCAGTCGAGTGGTCCGATTTATCCGGGGGTTGCTGGGCTGCGCGCGACTTTGCCCCCGATGGTGCGGCGAGTCCACGAATCCAGTTCAACGCGGACAGTCCAGCATGACCGAGAACAAGTCGCCGAGCCGCCTCAAGGACGAGCTGCGGATTCTTCTCGGCAGGATCGAGGAAGTGCCGCTGAGCTCGCGGCTTCGCTCCTTAAAGCTCTTGCGAGCTTACGCGCGGCTGCGGGAGACGCGGCTCAAGTCGGGACTGCGCGCGAAACTCGTCAAGCTCCTCGGCCTCCTCGGCGTCTGCCTCCTCGTCTACCTGGCGCGCGACTACTATCACAGTGTCAAATACGATAGAGTGAGTGTGCCACGGTCCAATCGGCAATTGCTTGTTTAATGCCTCGCAATCGTTTGTCCAGTGCCTGATCGATCAGCCGCCCTTGGTCCGACAGATCTTCCGACCTGCGGAGGATTGCTCGGTATGCCGGGATGTCAAGCACGTGGAGAAAATATCGAACGTCGATCCAAAGCTATTCGAGGAACGGTAACGACATTATTATTATTGCTTAAACTATTTCTCGCCCCGACTTACCATAATCATTTAGTTACGCGTACTCGGGGAGGCCCGTCGTTATCAGGGACGCAACCAACGGCTGGTCTGCCATGCAGGTCTTCTCCTTCGCGTTTCTCAAGGAACTTTACGAGGGTCAAGATGCCAATTGCCAATTCTTTCCTTACAAGACCGAATTTCGAAGCCTGCAGGATGTTTTCAACATGAGCACTAGTCGGGCATTGTTGCAAGCCGGCTCAAAGCCTTGGTACGTCGGATGGTTAGTACGCAACGTTATTTATCAAAATACCTGTGCAGTTACTTTATTAATGATTTAGAAGCTTTCTCGCAACTCTCAACTCTCAACTCTCAACTCGCAACTCGCAACTCGCAACTCGCAATGGCCCTTACGTTCGACTCTATAAAGTCTTGAGCTTTTATATTTAAGTGTTTGCACATTAGAATTATCATGATTCGCCGCTATGTTAAATATTAATAATCCAAATGGCACACTGCTCAGCGGTACATTTAGACAATTTTTTATTTCGAAGGAGTAATTGCGATCAAGCAATCGGCACGATTTTACGAAAGCATTATCAAAGACCATATTTCCTACCAGATACAGCGGAGAGCGAAAAAACTGATTGGCTTTTCATGGGTAGTCCTGGTTATGGAGCCCCGATGCACGTGAGTATTAATTACAGAAGAATTTCATTTATGATAAATGGCCGGCCGCGTGCATCATCCATAATATCCATGTTAATGTGAAATTCATCGTTTACGAGTTAAGATTGATGATGTCGAGTACCCGTCGTGGCAGGCACAGATACGTGGGCACAAAACATGGATTTTGGAGCCTCCACGAGAATGTCATTATAGCTGTAATCGAGTCGAAGTCACCGTCAATCCTGGCGAAATAAGTATTTATTTCATAAGCAATTATTTACCATTTATCCGCGACGCGGATTTAGCCTCTTAGCCCCGCAAAATTATCTTTTATTTCATTGTATTTTCATTGCAGTTGTCTTGGATACTAACAAATGGTATCATCAGACGCTTATTGTTTCCGATGATGTAAGTATAACCATAGGAGCCGAATACGATTAAATTGAAAAAACGAATACAACTTTAAGCATTATTGTTAATCCATGTATGCCACTGTCGCTGTAAATGATATTTAAAAGTACAAAGTACTTCATTAATTATGTCGTAATTTCATTCTATGTGTGGTTAAAGAAGAATTTTATAAATAAGCGATCGCGTTAAATTATTCGATAGTGTTTATCGATAAAAGTATGCTATATATATATATATATATATATAAATTCCTTTACATAAAAAACTGTCAGTTTAAATTAAAATTATTGTTACATTCCCCAGGCTAATATATTGAAAATATTTTCTCATAATTTTCTTTATAATTTTTATAATCTGTAATCTATAATTTATATAATCCCATAATTGTCTTTCGCATGTCGAATATCTCTAAGAATTCTAATTAAACACACTAAATAGTATATATATATATATATATATATATATATATTTTTTTTTTTTTTTTTTTTTTTAAATAATTTATTCAAATCGATATACATGTAGATTATATATTAGCATAGTTTATAATTAATGTACACACAGAACACTGGTACTTCTCATCAATTTACGATAAATCTGACGTTTCATATTTTTGATCCATTTGGCTCTAGAAATAGGTTTGACTGAATAATTTATAAAATCAATAGATAGCTAAACAAACTTCATTTCTTCATTCAAATCATTATATCTCTACTTACGCAAATTTTAGATTTTATTCTCGAGACAGCAGTCATCTTTGAATTATATATTACATAATCACAACATGCACTACACGTAAGATGCGTTCATTTATTCAACATAAAAAGACAGACATAACAAACATAAAACGAAAGCTCAAATATAAAAACTATAAAAGCCCTTAGAGAATTAACAACAATATTATTGTACAACGTTTAAACGTTTTAAGCATATATCCTTAATATATAATAAAATATAATGTAAATAATGAGACGTATAATCTTTACTATACATTCGATATTCTCGGATATGAATTGCAATAATATGCTTTTGGTTAAATAATCTAGGATTAAAATTATCTATCATACAATTCTGATTATGTATTTACAATATTATAATTACAATTCATTGTATTTTGAAAAATTGTAATTTTTATTTATTATTGCGAATGATAGCTTCGTTAATACGTTAAAATTTCATTGATTTGGCCTTTACGCAAAATATAATTATATTTTCAATTAGAAAATTTAATGCTTAAACAAACGATGCTTTCACTTTTTTTTTCCAATTATTTATAAAATCTTTACTCACGAATATTTTGAATATTTATTTCTATTGTTAAATTTATTGAATAATTAAAATTTCAAACACAATATCCAAATAATTTTATATTTTTCAATTTATACATATTGGCTTCAATAGCTGAAAAATGAAACTACTTTCTAATAATTTTTTTTTTATAAATTATTCTTTATTAGATATTCTTCTAATATTACATGTATTTTTATGTTATACATAAGCTTATAAGGTATTTATTTTATTTTTACTGTAAATTATGACTGAATATTTATACTGGTTGAGTGGTTATAAAAATTATTCTCCAATCGAGTCTTCATTAACGCATTCAATAATTACAGATAATTCTTTATCTGATGTACTCGTTTATTTTACGTAATTGTTTTATTTATATATTAAAAAAAAAAAAGCAAGAGCTCACTATTATTCTGAATTGTCGTAATTTCGAAACGGAAAAAGCCTGTCACTCCTCGTAATTATAATTTATTTATACAGCTATCATACATCATTTTTAATTAAATGTATTTTTTATTTTATTTCAAACTTGAATAGATTTCTCATGAAATTTATGGAGATATATGACATTTCAAAATACAGGAAATTTAATATATCGTAGTAATATACACGATTTATAAGTATTATAAATGTATGCCCGCGTATATTCATTGCCTATTTTTTTTTCCTTCTTTTTTTCTTTTCTTTTTTAATTAAGAATCTGGAATTTACGTATTGCATGAAGAAAGTTAATAAAATTCTAATGAATCAATAGCTACTACAGTATGTAGCTGATGCTGGAAGCAAGATGTAGCCGACAGATTCAGTTATTTCGAATGTGATACTCAATTTTATCTCTTGATCTCCCGATGTTTCTCTGAAACTTTGATTTGCTCTTCCTTCTTCCATGCGCTAAAAGTACATAAAATGAATACATTGTTTGTTGATACCATCGATTGATATATGAAATGTATATTTATAAAATATTGATCAATATAAAGTATATTCAATTTTATTTATTACTGCATTTGTATAATACTGTCAGTTATGAAGAAAATATTGATTGAAAAATACTTCATATTTTACTTTGTACACATAAGTAAGTACCGGCATCTATATCTAATAATAATTTTACATTGTGAAAATATTATTAATATTTTTAAAAAACATAATAAAAATTATTCAACAAATGTGCGGTAAATTGTTTTCGACATAAATACAAAATATCTCCCTTTCCCACAAAAAAAAAAAAAAAAAAAAAAAAAAAAAAAAAAAAAAAAATATATAAAACAATATTACATGAAATAGTGACGACAAAACTTATGAGTACGTCAATAATTTTTTTTTTTTTTTTTTTTTTTCTTTGCTCTATCTTTCCTCATTGGAGGTGAGTAAGTGCAATTATAGAAAATAGCTACGTTACCGACTAGTAATTTTCATTTGATGGATTTCGTTTTAATGCGTCGTGTCGATAACTTTTTTATTCTACCTTATCTTCATATATCAGTGATAATTTATGAATTAATTGTTGATGTATTGCTCGTTTTTTCCGTTTTATCCTGTAAACGCAGTAAGTATTTCTTTCCCGATGTTAATAAATATGTAAAATCAAATTTCTACATACAATTACTTATAGATTCTAGTTATATATATATTCATTTGTTAGTTCGGCTCTATACAATATGGTAAGTTATAAAAATTTTATGTGTTATTTTAGCAAATGCAAGTTTAACGCCTCTTCTTAATATGTAAATAAAATAATAAATTAAACAGTTCTATCTTATTTTAACAATTCTATGTATGTCTCAACGTTAATATATCAATATCTATATCATAATATGTCATAATCCGTTGAATAATCCAACACATTCTAATTTGGCAATAATATTTAGAAATTGTGGGTTAAGGCAATTTAATTCGGTAAATCAGTATTTAGTGCAATTATTTGTACTACAAAAATTATCTTTGACAATTTGCCATTTATCGTGTCTTTTGTCAAACCTATTTACTTATGCGTTAATGTTCGATCCATGATACGGGTAATTTTTTTTTTATTATCGTTTGACTGAAAAAACTTGCACAAAATTCACATCTGTTTGTACAATTTCTTAGAAGACATAATTAATTATTAAGGTAATTTTAATTGTATAATTGTACGAGGTAAAATTAAAAATTAATTTGTAATTTCAATTTTTACGCTATAGCTCGCGTATAATTTACAAAAGATAATTATAATATAAATATTACATATATGTATTCTCTCGCTGTCTCGCTTTCAATCTACTGTATTAAAATTTTCGTAAATCTTATAGTTTAAAATCCATGTCGATTAAAGGAATAAAAATAAATATTATATGCTTAATAAGTCATGAGGAATGAATATTTAAGTATTTCTCTGTATTCTGTAACAGCTTTTACATTAAAGGAAAGCCGTACAAACAATTATAATTTGTACCTCTGATTCAAGTGTTCATTAAGTAAACAATTATAAGAAGCCTAGGAAGCTAAGAGAGAATTAACGAAGATAAATTTAAGTATAGGCTGAAATCCGGTACAGACAACTATCAAAACAATAGAAAGAGATGCGTATAAACGAGCGGCGCCACCTATCGATGGCAAGAGAATTGCTCGCCTCTCCCGCAAGGCGACCCCAATTTTTCGTAAGGTTTTTCCAATGAAGGACGATCGAAAATGTCGTAGCGTGCCGTTCGAGGTGACACAATCGGGAAGTAACCGAGGCGACTGTTGTCCCTCTGATAAGGAGGGCAAGTCTTATTATTAAGGTACGGCAGCTCGCTCACAGGTGGCGCCACCGGCGACAAGGCTTCGAATATCGGTTAAAAATTTGAAAAATTCGACCTTCTAATGCGAGGCCTTGACGATGGACACGAGGGCCGTTCATAGCCGGACCAGGGAGCACAGAGATGGAAGTGACCGTGGTGCCCGTAACGACGACAATGACAATTAGCCGAGTGAAATTAAAAGCATAGAGTAAGCTGTCAGTTCGGATGCCAGTGGGCGAGCGGGTCTTCTGGCCACGGGTGGTGGGGAGTAGTGGCAGTAGCGCTGACGGAGTACGAAAACAGAAAAAAAAGCAAAACAAAGAAAGTAAGGTAAGAAGAAAAACAAGGCCTGTTGTGATTCGATGTCGTATTATGGCTCGCCTATCCGCCTAATAATTAAGACCCGTGCGCGGGTGCTCGG